CTTTCACTCACCACTCCCAAGGCCGAGAACTATCCAGTGAAGAGTGGCCATGACGTGGCATGAGGTTGCCCAGGGGTCATAAGCAGTTCACCTTCACCAGCCATTTCTCTCACTTCTTTAGTGTGTGGCACAATGCTCCCTAACATCCCACCTTTAACGACCTGTCAAGAAAAAACATGAGTGCAGCAAACTACCAAACAAGTACTTGCTCCTAGGAGCAATTCAAACACACTTTGTTCAATAATGGTTTCATTCCAACTGGCCCTAAGAGAAAAAAAGAGTAAGGAATTTTTTAAAGCCTATTTAACAAGATGAAGCCTCAGAAGGCAGTTGGCTTAGATGTAAACACGTGCTGCACCAACAAAAGCCAAATCTGAGGTGTCAACAAAAGGAAGTCACTCTTATTCTAGAAACAGACCTTAAAAGTAGCTAGCTTGGTGCCAGTTAGAGAGAGGCAGGGCAAGCTTAGTTATGCACTGCTGGTTAACATACCCACTCACCCTGACAAAACCACTTTAAAATCGGGGAGCTATTGTCTAACAACCCTTTTGAAATGCTATTGAGAGATGAACTTTACATTTCTATGTAACTTCAAGATGCTGCTCCCAAACACAGCCACACCAGGTATTTCAATTAAATAATTTTATTGGGGAAAAAAATCACTTTGAGCACCAAAGCAAGAAAACTATTATTCAATCAGTTTCCCAGATCACATGCAAAGAACACAAATGCTCAGGGTGGGCCTGGCAGATGGTCCACAACCAGCGGCTGCGTTCAGCTGGAATGGACCGGGGTCCCACAGTGTTTGTGCCACAAGTCAATGGCCTTGCTCACTTTCTTGCCCAGGCTGGAGTGGTATAGTGGTATAGTGGTATAGTGGCACAATTTTGGCTCACTGATGCCTCCACCTCCCAGGTTTAAGCGATTCTCGTGACTCAACCTCCCGAGTGGCTGGGATTACAGATGTGCACCACCACACCTAGCTAAATTTTGTATTTTTAGTAGAGATAGGGTTTCACCATGTTGGCCAGGCTGGTCTCGAAATTCTGACCTTAGGTGATCTGCCCACCTCAGCCTCCCAAAGTGCCGGGATTACAGGCATTAGCCCCCGCGCCCAGCCTCCCAAACATTTTCATCACCCTGAAATAAAAGCCAATAGCCATTAAGCAGCTGGTCCCCATTCCCCCTTCCTCCCTGCACCCCACAACCACTAATCTCTCAGTCTTTATGGATTTCCCCATCCTAGACATTTCATATCAGTGGAATCATACAGTATGGAGACTTTTGTGTCTGACTTCTTTCATGTAGAATACTGTTTTCAAGGTCTAGCCGCGTATTAGCAGGTTTCAATTCCTCATTCCTTTTTATGGCTAATATTCTCTTATGTGGATATAGACACCATTTTGTTTATCCATCCATTGATGGACATTTGGGCTGTGTTCCCCTTTTGGCTGTTTTGAATGGACCTGCTGTGAGCACACATGTACAAATACTTGTTTGAGTGTATCCATTTTCAGTTCTTTTAGGCATATACCTAGGAGTGGAATTGCTGGATTTAGGGTACTTTTTCAAGGAAGGGATAAGAGAAAAGGGCTGAAAGCGTGGCTGGGGTGGTGAGAATCAAGGGAAAGGAAGGTCCCTCTTCATCCGGACTGTATGTGAACGTCCATGAGGAAATGGAAATGGAAATGCACCATCGACCAAATCTTGGAGCTCCTCCTGCATGCCACTCATGGGCCTGTTTCAGCTTTAGCATCTTTGCTCGTGCCAATTAACTTTTGCCTATCTTAAAAAGGCAAATTCACCTGCAAATGACAAAGATTGGTAGTCAGTGAAGAGAATTAGAGGAATGTGCCCCAGGCTTTGAAGGCAGTTCCCAGAGAGGAGCCCCAGGAATGTGGTGAGCCAGGGCTGCTCTGATGGAATCCTTGTGTGACCTCTCGTGGGGGAGGGGGACAGCAGTCATTTGAATGCATATGTTTCAGCATGTTGGTTAAGCACGCACTCTCTAGTCTCACCTTGTAGGAATTCCTCCCTCCCTTTTTCTCCATATATTTATTAAGCTCTTACTATGTGCCAGGCACTGGGCTTAGGTATGGCAGAGGCAATGGTGAACAGGACGGGCATGGTCCCTGTCGTTTTAGAACTTACGCTCTCACTCCATAATCTCCCATGACACCTAACACAGGGCTAGGCGCACCAACGTAACTGACAAATGTTTCTGGAAGAAACTACTTCCAACCCTCAAGTGACATGGGGTACAGAGGAGCACCTGAGCTGGCAGCAGGACTGTAGTCGTTTTTCAGGGAGTACATAGATCTAATGTACGTGACTAGAGGTTTCCCGCTCTGGTTACTCAGCCATGACTCTGAAAGCTTCTCCCTGGTTGCCGTTTCCTTCTGGGGAAACCCTTCATCACCTAGAAGGTTGCTAAAGAAATGAGTTATTTCAGTAGCCCACAATGCTAATAGGTGTTGTTATTGACAGGATGATCCCAAAGGGATATTGGGTCATGGTGGTGCTTCCCAATGGGGGAAACTAGCTCTGCTTCTTTCAGTTGACCACCAACTTCCTCCTGGAATTTGCTTTTCAGGGGGCACCCTCACCTCACCTGTGCCCTTTGGACTCTCTCCTCTCTGGTTGCCCAGGTGTCACCTGAAGGCTGGTGGCAGTCATACACAACTAAGTCAGCTCACCAGTTGTACTGGGTGGCATATTGGCTGAGCCACAGATGATACAGTGGGATTTCTTGTGAAAGCCACTGGACCTGCTTTGTGTCCAGGTAGGACTAAGAGGTGAAATAATTCTACTAGATAGTGCCTAGCTAGGAAATGAGGAGGCTAAGGGGTGGCCTGATGTCTGTCTGTAGAGCAAGTAAACAAAAGATTGTTAAAACTGTTTTATTGTGGTCAGATATACAGAACCCAAAGTATACTATTTTAACCATTTTAAAGTGTACAATTAAGTGGCTGTAAGTGCATTCACAATGTTGTGCAACCACCGCCACTATCTAGTTTCAGAACTTTGTCATCATTTTAAAGGAAAATTCCGTCCCCATTAAGCATTCACTCCTCCTTCCCCCTCCCCCCAGGCCATGACAACCACCAATCTGCTTTCTGTCTCTATGGGTTTGCCTTTTCTGGACATTTCATCTTGATTGAATCATACAATATGGGACCTTTGGTGTCTGGCTTGTATCATGTAGCATCCACACAGGTAGTGTGTGTCAGAATCTCTTTTAAAGGCTGAATAATATTCCACTGTATGGATATACCACATTTTGTCTGTTAATCCATTCACCCATTGATGGATGTTTGAGCTGTGTCCACCTTTTGGCTGCCATGAATAGAACTTCTGTGAATGTGCACACAGACAGGTACTTGTCTGACAACCTGTTTTTAGTTCCTTTGGGTATATACCCAGGAGTGAGATTGCTAGGTCATATGGTAATGCTGTGCTTTACCTTTTGAGGAATGACCAAACTTTTCCACAGCAGCTGAACCATTGTATATTTCCATCACAGATTTCATCAGTTGATGGACATTTGGATTGTCTCCATCTTTTGGCTTTTGTGAGTAGAGTTGCTGTGAACATTCATGTATAAGTTTTTTTTTCTTCCTGTTGATATGCATTTTATTTTCTTTTTGTTTTGAGACAGAGTCTCACTCTGTTGCCCAGGCTGGAGTACAGTGGCATGATCTTGGCTCAGTGAACCGTCCACCTCCCAGGTTCAAGCGATTCTCCTGCCCCAGCCTCCTGAGTAGCTAGAACTACAGGTGTGCGCCACCACACCTGACTAATTTTTATGTTTTTAGTTTTGCCATGTTGGCCATGGCTGGTCTCAAACTCCTGACCTCAAGTGGTCCGCCGCCTCGGCATCCCAAAGTGCTGGGATTACAGGCGTGAGCCACTGTCCCCGGCCTCGTGTATGTTTTTATTTGAACACCTGTTTTCAGTTCTTCAGGGGCATATACCTAGGAGTGGAAACAAAAGGATTTTATGAGGATAAACCTTGCTGCTTTTCTCATGTTTTCAAAGATGAAACAGAAGGACTTATGCATATTTATATTACTACAAATTGGAGAGATTGTGATTCGATAAATGAACATTGTGAGCAATAGGGAATTAAAATCCTGGGATAGGTCTAAGAGTCTGCTCGTAGAGTAAAGCTCTGCACCATGTAAAATGGAAGTCCCAAACCTAAATAAATGCCTTTAGGCTTAAAAGGGAGAAGAAGGCTGGGTGGGTGGGGAGTGGCGAATTGGAGCCCGCATGTGTCGCTGTTCCCTCTAGCCAGCTGTTGACGTGCAGGAATTTGGACACAGTGTTGCCAGATCAGATTTTTTTTTTTTTTTTTCACAAAAATATTGGGAAGTCTGGATTTTTAAGTGAAATTGCCCAATTTAAAAATGTTGGAAGTCAGGCTGGGCGGGGTGGCTTATGTCTGTAATCCCAGCACTTTGGGAGGCCAAGGTGGGAGGATCGCTTGAGCTCAGGGGTTTGTGATCAGCCTGGGCAACATGGTGAAATCTCATCCTCTACAAAAATGGAAGAAATAAAGAAAAAAGGATTAGCCAGGTGTGGTGGTGCGCCCCTGCAATCTCAGTTACTCAGGAGGCTGAGGTGGGAGGATCACTTGAGCCCAGGAATTCAAGGTGCTGTGAGCTATGATCATGGCACTGTACTCCAGTCTGTGCGGCAGAGCAAGACCCTGACTGAAAAATAAAATAAAATGTTGGAAGCGTGTTGAGATTTTTTTTTTTCTTTTAAAGCACTGGGCCAAACACCAGGCAGTCAATGGGTTAGATTGGTCTCCTGTCCCTTTGTTTGTAGTCTCTGACTAAGAACAGGAAGTGTGTGTCTCTCTGGTCACTCCTGGCCTCTCTCGTAGTCCTTCCTTCCCTTCTCCCGTTCCCTTCGCCCTGTGTGCATGGACTTCATTTGGAGATTCCTTCTCCATCTTCCCCTCCTGCTCTCATCGCCTGCTCTTCTTTCTTCAGATCACCTCTCAGATCTTCAGGGCCGAGCAGAGGGTGATCCCGGTGTATCCTGGGATTTTTACAGCAGTTCTGTGTTGGGTAAGTTTGAAGTGGGATCCTTCCCACCCTCAGCTGTGGCACAAAGATGTGGGATTTGGCTCGGGTTTCACCAGGTCTTCTCAAGGACAGGAGTAACCCTGTGGCGGTATCCCTTCTTCCCCTTTTAATGGCTTACAGACCCTTTCAGACCCAACCCGACCCCGATCCTAACCCCGTCTTTCCCGGCAGATGCAGAAGTCATTTGCCTAAACCAGGAAATACGCCACTGATTTGGACACAGCCATTCCTCATTAGCCCTCTACCGCTCCCCACCCTGGACATTTAAACAATTCTCTTTCTTCCAAGGTCCCTTTCTTCTCCCTGGCTTTGTCTTAACCCTGCCAGAAGCCCTATGAGCATTGTCACATCTTCCAATATTGCTCAAACTCAAGAGGGACCCCACCCCTCACCTGACAGCTCCCATTCTCTCCCTACCCTGCCCCCAGGATGCACACACAGTTTTCCAAATAGCTACTGTCTTCGGAGCCCTTAGCCTTCTGGCCATGGCTTTCCTCTCTTGGAAGATCAGCACGTCTTTGTCCATGGTGGTCATCTAGCATTTGCCCTTTGGGCTAGGGGGCTGAAGATGAAAGGAAGCACCCACTCCTACCCTTGGGGGAAGCTGGAGGGGAGAAAGTTGGGATGGAGTGTAACTGGCCACACCCAGAATGTGGGCTGGGGAAGGGAACCGGCTGAGCCCTCTCTGGGCTTCTTGGGAGCCCCCCAGGCAGTGAGGCAGCTTGGGAAATCTACAGCTAGAGAATGACGTGTTTTTACCTTGCCCTTGTCTGCTGATAATATCTTCATCAGGCTTCCATCTCCAACAGCTGATCAGGTCATCCTTGACGTCACCTTGCTTTTGCCAGTTGGAGTGGGGAGAAATATAATAAATCTCTGGCCACAGAATGGCCACAGAAGATTTCTTTCAGGACCACAACTTTCATGTGCCTTCCCAAGGATGTGAGCCATGGGACCGGCAAACCTTGTCCCTGACTAGGGGCCTGTGGCCTTGTCATTTATCTCCCAACTACCCCCTCCATGCCCCTTTATCTGCTTGGTACATTTCTTTTCTTCGGTTTTGTGCATATATCTGAGTCCTAATTCTCTATGTGCTCCCCTTACAGAGGAAAAAGACGGGTTTGCCTGTGACCTGCTACATAATCCTCCTGGGAGCTCTGATCAAGAAGGAGACGATCCGATGGAAGAGGACGAATTCATGTTCGAACTCTCAGACAAGCCTCTTCTCCCTTGCTACAACCTCCAAGTGTCAGTGTCCCGCGGGTAAGTGTCCGAGAGACCCACGGTGACTGAACGCCAGGGTCCTGGCAACAGTGGACGCCCTCACTGGGAAGGTGGAGTTCTGAAGGAAGTGAAGACCTGGCGAACAAGCGCCATCACACATGACAAAGGCTAGCCTGCCCTTTTAGCCCAGAGTAGTTCTGTTCAAATTAGAGGCTGCAGGCTCCGTGGACATTGACTAGCTGTATTTCCTGCACCCCAAAACTAGATTCTCTCTCCGAAGGCTTTTTTCTACTGTTACTGGGTATAAGCGATGATCTGAGAGATACCTGGGTGGATGAACTGCTAGAATCTCTGGAACATTTTTGTGGTTTCTGGAGGTAAACAGAGTATTTGCAATTGAGACTGCTGGAAAAGCCGGGACATGTGGTTGCCATAGCCATGGGGCCACTAGGGTCCTTCAGTGATCCGCAGCCTAGTTTCTCAGTGCCGTAGTTTACTGAGGACTTTTTTTTTTTTTTTGAGGCAGAGTCTCACTCTGTTGTCCAGGCTGGAGTGCAGTGGCGTGATCTCAGTCCACTGCAACCTCTGCCTCCCGGGTTCAAGCTGTTCTCTGCCTCAGCCTCCCGACTAGCTGGGATTACAGGCACCCGCCACCATGCCTGGCTAATTTTTGTATTTTTAGTAGAGACGGGGTTTCACTATCTTGGCCAGGCTGGTCTCGAACTCCTGACCTTGTGATCCACCCGCCTCACCCTCTCAAAGTGGTGGGATTACAGGTGCGAGCTACCGTGCCCAGCCCTCAATGCCATAATGTTAGCAATGTGGTGGTGCCAACATTGTCAGCCTAGATGACAGCATATTATATTGGTGATCACCTGTTTAAGGAGACTAGAATACACTGTGTACCTGACACTAACATTAGATTGAACTCAGTTTAATGTTTATTCAGTGGTCCTGGAGGGAGTTCGGCAGCCAGCAGGGCCGTGGTTTTTGTTGGATTTCCCCACATGTCAGCGTGTAGAAGTGCTGGCTGAGAACACGGGCTGAATCGCCCTTTTGTTCTTAGCCTCCATGATTTTTTCCCTCTGATTGGTGTCTTAACGTATTTCAAATACTTTTGCAAACAATTGTAAGGATAATTTTTCTTTTATATCTATTTTTTAAATGTCAACTCCGTGTTAAAAACCAGTAAGCCAGCAGCCGGGCGCGGTGGCTCTTGCCTGTAATTTCAGCACTTTGGGAGGCTGAGGTGGGTGGATGGCTTGAGCCCAGGAGCTCGAGACCATCCTGGCCAACATGGCAAAATAGCGTGGTGGCGGGCGCCTGTGATCCCAGCTACTTGGGAAGCTGAGGCAGAAGAATCACCTGACCCTGCGGGGTGGAGGTTGCAGTGAGCTGATATTGCCCACTGCACTCTAGCCTGGGTGACAGAATAAGACTCCATCTCAAAAATAAAATAAAATAAAATAAATCCAGTGAACCAGCATGATGTGCACAGGATAGGGAGCTGAATGGACAATAGATTAGGAGCTCTTTAAGTAAGAGCCTCTGTTTAGGGCTTTAACCATTAGACCACAGTTTCTTTGCATCCCCCCCACCCGCCAACCCCCTCCACACACACACACACACACACACACACACACACACACACGGCCTGATCAGAATAAAAATAGCGTATATGATGGCACTAGTAGAGATCAAGTTTCAGGGGCTTTTGGTCCTTATTCTTCTGGGCATAAGCTGATCCCTGAGGGCAGGGCGGGGCCTCTGGGATATAGTGTTGCACGGTTAATTAATTCCTTCGATGTATTCAGCACCTCTCTCTCTGAAACAGGATCTTGGGCTTCAGGCAGTAAAAGGACCAGGGTAGTCTGCATTAGGTGCAGACAGAACACAGGCCACCAAGGGCTGCGTGCCCCTCAGTGAACCGGTGGCAGGCACGTGGTTAGCCCAGAGCCCAGTACCAGCAAACCTGGTTTTCCTGACATGACATCCTCCAGCGCTCCTTCTAGAGCTGCCCTTCCCCACAGCTGCAGCACACTGTGAAAATGTCTGTTCTTGAAGAAGTTGGGGGTGGGGGTGCTAGCGTAGACTGATGCCTCTGAGGCCCTATGGCGTGCAGAGGGGCCTTCTGAATCACCAAAACAAAAATGAATTCTCATCACTAGTGTGCATGTTTTCAGGGCTTTTTCCCATTCTTTGGAAGTGATGGTCCAAGTGTGTGCTATCTGTAGTCCCCTTTTCTTAACCCAAAGCGCTCCATTTCCTATTCGTGTGAGATAAGAACTTGCTGTCATTTGGGAGAAATGTTGCGTTTTAGGGATAAGGATCGTGGGTCTGGTTAGATGTTTAAGGCGCTGGAATGGAACATTTGATTCTATAAACATGTCTTCAACAGCTGTGCCAGGTCAAACCCTGGGGACCAGAACTCAGCTCTGGCCTTCGAAGAATTCACTGTCTAGTGCAGTAGATGAACAAGTATATAATTAACCCTAATCAAAGACAAAATGTCCTAAACAGATTTATTGTAAAAAAACTCCAACACTTTCAGAAGGGTGTCAAATGCAAAAAGTTACAGTCCACGCTGAGCCCCCATTGCCATGCCACAGAGTGAACCACAGTTTAAGGTTCTTTTGCAATACTGTCAGAAGTGGGCTTTGTTAATAATATTACAATAGGGTTGTAAATCAAATGCCATGAGACCATGGGAGATGGAGGAACAATGAGTTACAAGTGGGGAAGTTTTCACAGGTGATACGGTATCTACCTGAGCTGGGCAGGGAAGGAGAGAAAGATGGAGAGCAAGGCATGGAAACATACAAATTCAGAAAATAGGGGGAGTCTTTTATCATGTGACTGGTGCTTGCTGGGGTGGGAGATACAATGTGGGGTATGTGTGTGTGTGTGATTAAGTGGACATTGGGCTGAAGAAGTTGGAAGGTCTTATATAATATCATGGTAGTGGCCAGACATGGTGGCTCACTCCTGTAATCCCAGCACTTTGGGAGGCTGAGGCGGGTGGATCACTTGAGGTCAGGAGTTTGAGACCAACCTGGCCAACATGGTATAACCCCGTCTCTACTAAAAATACAAAAATTAGCCAGGCGTGGTGGCGCGTGCCTGTAATTCTAGCTACTCAGGAGGCTGAGACAGGAGAATCGCTTGAATCCAGGAGGCAGAGATTGCAGTGAGCTGAGATCTCGCCACTGCACTCTAGCCTGGGTGACAGAGTGAGACTCCATCTCAAGAAAAAAAAAATCATGCGAAAGAATTTGGAATTTTTCTGGAGGCACTGGGGATCCATTGAAAGCTGTTTAGGGAGGGAATGGAAGGTCAGACTTTCTTTGTAGAAAACTGTAATGGTAACAGATGATCCAATGAGGGTGAGTAGGGGTGCAGAAGAGTGACCCCTGGCAAAGGGAAACCAGTTAGGAGGCTGATAAGATGGAGCCCAGGCCAGAAGTGGCAAAGGCTGGAGCTGGGGTCGTGGAATAATGAGGAGGGCAAACTCTGTGAACTGGGACCACTAACGTGGAGAGGCAGCATTTCTTCCTGCATTAGTCAATGTAAGCATTTGGCCCGGGACCGGCCCCTCCAGCACCCCTCCCAGCTGTCCCCAGGCTGCCACCCAGTCGGGTGTGCTCAGCAAAGTCAGACTCAACTCACTGTAATGTGAGCTCTGGCCCTGCAGAAACGATGGTGCTGCTGCTAGAGAAAAAACTTGTCTAATGCATTCCAGAGCCAAAGAGAAATGCCTTTTGGATTACCCGCAGTTTAGGCCTTTCTCCACGGCTCCCCCTCTGCTGGGGAAGATCTTGGAGAACAAGGAGGCCAGGGAAGTGAGAGTGAGAACAGGAGAGGGAATCCAGCCGAGGTTGGCAGGGGCGGGAGTGCCGGGTGGGGGAAGACCAGTCCCAGCAAATGGCCAATCCCAGGTCACAGGGGTGCGGGCTAAGTCCCCAGGAAGCCCACTAAGAGTCTGAGGTTCTGGAAGGCTCCTTTCCCTCCTGCTTGTGTTATTTTGGAAGAGATCGGTTACGGATTGAGTGCTCACCGTTTAGCTGAAAGCCGGGCCAGGCACTGCAGGGGACAGAAGACATTTGCCTCAGCTATACCCAAGGAGCCTGTGGTTTAGCAGGCGACCGGGGAGCCAGACTGGCAGTGAGTTATAATGGGAGATGAGGGTGGCCGCGCAGCCTTCGTGGGTTTTGCAGGGTGTTCCGGGTCGGTGCCCCCACTGCTCCCCCAGCCTCCTTCTATAACTCCCATCCTTGCCTTTGCAGGCCCTGCAACTGGTTTCTCTTTTCCGATGTCTTGAAGAGGCTGAAGCTTTCCTCGAGGATCTTTCAGGCCCGGTTCCCGCACTTTGAAATCGCCACCTTGCCCAAGGCTGAGTTCTACCGGCAGGTGGCCTCCAGTCAGCTGCTGACCCCTGCCGAGAGGCCTGTAGGCTTGGACGACAGATCCCCCCCAGGCTCCTCTGAGACTGTGGAGCTGGTTCGGTACGAGCCAGACCTACTTCGGCTCCTAGGGTCCGAGGTGGAATTCCAGTCTTGCAAAAGTTGACCAGGAAAACAGCCCCTCCTTTTCTTCTTTCTCCTTCCGAGTTCACCCTTCCCCCACCTCCCTTGTCTTTCCCCCACCGAGCACCAGACTGCAGAATGAGGCAATAATACGGACCAACAAGAAGCCGCCTTATCAATGCCAGCATTAGCGACTGGACTGTTTTTGTTTTTTTGGTTACAGTTAGTTCTCATCTCCCTGTCGTCGTCATTGTCGTGGTTGGTGATGGGGGTGGAAAGCTGAACTCTATGTCTGAGGACAATAGGTCCCAGGGGTGGTGGGAGGTGTCGCCGGGACTGGCCTCCTTGTATATGACCAAGACCAAACCTGGGCCCTGGGTGGCCTTGGCCTGTCCCAAGGAGAAATGAGAAAATCCCCGATCGCTGAGCGCCCCCCCCAACTCCATTCCCCTGTGTTCTTCTGTCTTCTGTAGTATTTATTTGATTAGTATTTAATTTGTACTGTTTCATTGGTTTCTGAGAAGTCTGTATCACTGTGACGATTTGAGACAACTTGTTGTTCTGAGGGACTTTCTTTACCTCCTTTCTTTTTCTTTGTTGATGAGCTCTGACAAAGCTATTCCCAGGTGGTTTTTCCCCCCACTGGGGTGGGGTGGGGTCGGGGGACATGAACTTGTGACTAACAAAGCTAGCTGCTGCCGGCCCAGGGCTGGGGGCTTGGGGGTAAATCCTGAAGCTTTGGTGCTCCCCCCCCCGCCCCCTTCCGCCCTTTGCAGCAGCCCCACTATCTTGAGATTAGTGTTGACAGGGAGGGGAGGATTGTGGGGCCAGGGCTTAATAAGTGACTCTAATAAAGGGGTGTGGAGAAGGGATCTGAGGGGTGAGGGTGCCCCTCTTCACGCCTTCTTCACTGCCCCCCTCTGAGTGCACAATACGAGTTTGTTCCTGCATCCTTTCCCCAGTGCCCCCACTCCCCCAACCTCATTCTGGCCTCCCTGTCTCGAGATACTGAGCCTCTCACCTCCCAGCCCTCGGCCCCGATCCCTGCCCCTTCCCAGACTCGCAGCACCCCTTCCTTCCTCTCCTCCCCACTCCTCCTCCTTCAGACCCCCATTCTCCTTGGGAATCTGCAGAGGGCTCTGAGACTGACTGCCAGATGTGAAATCCAGGCGTCAGCTGTTTCCTAGGCAAGGGCAGGAAAGGGTTCTCCAGCCCTTGCTCCTCTCCTGCCTGGGGACCTGAGGTTGAGTGGTGGCCCCACCTGGCCTCCCCCTCGCCTCTGGGCTCCAGCGCTGGGTTTGTCCAGTGATAGAGAGAGGAGCTTGGGTTGCGTCCCTGTCCCCGCCCCCTCTGTGGTGTTGTCCCTCCCACTCTTCTTATTTTTCTACCAATTGCTATTTTTCCGAACAATCCTTGTAGAGTATGTACCATTCAAAGGCAGGAGGGCCTCGCCATGGCCAGCTCTGGTTGGAAATGGTACAGTTTTATTGTACAGGTGCTAAAACAACAACAACAAAAAAGAAAATGGAAAAAAAAAAGATTAAAAAAAAAAAAGGAAAAAAAAAAGCCAGTTTGAGGATGGGACAATCTGTTCTCTGGAGGCTCCTGAGCCCTGCGGGAGCGTTGGTGGTTATTTTCTTTGTATTGTGTTTGTTCTTTGTTCCCAGGGGGTGGGGGAGTTCTCACCCCCGCTTCTGTAGGACTGCTTCCCCACCCCCACCATACTGCCCAGTTGGTTTTAAACAGTTGTTTTCCCTTTAAAAAAAAATACATATATATATATATATATATATATATATATATACACACACATATATATATAAAGTTGAGGGGTTTTGGATTTTGATTTGTTGGTTTTGTTGGGGTTCCTGGTATTGTGTAGTTTATTTCATGTTCTGTTTGCCTTTCCTTTTTTCGCATTTGGGTGTATATTCTGGCTACCCTTCATGTTTCATTTTAAGCAACTGGCTGTGGAGTCAAAAACACTTGCATACTGAAAACTGTGTGTCAGGGCTTCTGTCTCCCGTCTCTTTTTCTATCCTCCCCTTTGGGACTTGGTGGTGGTTTCAGAAGGTGGGCATTGTGATGGGGAACCCCGCCCCCCACCATCCTGCTTTGCAGCTGTGGGTCCGGAGGGGTACAATGAATGAAGGCAAGGTGGAGTGGCTAGTGAATGTTGGGTCACGATCTAGAAAGAAAAATAAAGGCAGGGGCAAATCCTAGGGGCGGGGCCAGTGGGGCAAATGGAGCATCTGGCTCCTGTTGCTTTGGTTTGGGGTCCAAGGGGGTGCCTGGGCAGTCCTTGTTTCCATAGGAATAGCAGGATTGGAGGAAGCTGCCCTCTCTTTGGTGGCTGTGGGAATAAGCCTCCTTAAGGAAGTCCCCTGCCTGCCCTGGGCCACCCTGCCAAGGTGGCATCTGGCTGCATGGCCTCATCACTGCCCTCACTGTTGTGCCAGTGCTCCCCGCCCACAGTGCAGGCCTTCCACGGTGCTGTTTTCCTGCCACTGAGCGACCATGAAGGCAAGATGCCCATCCTGGATTTTGCAGTTTTTACTCCCGCTTTTGAAAAAGAGTGGTAGAAGCTATGATTCTTGTGAATGCTAGTTCCAGAATGCACCAGCAACTGAGGGGAAGAGGATGTTTGAGAGGCCTGGGATGAGGCCCTTTGAAGCTGTATCCTCTTAGGGCCTCTTGCTGTGGCTTTCGAGTCTGGAGAGCCCTGTCAGAGAGCGTAGAGGCGAAGGGATCTGTGCGTCTGGCCGGCTGGACTCCAGCCATCCCCAGGAGTGAACTCTAAGCTGCTGTCTTTGCTCAAGCCTCAGAAGCTTGGCTTGACCCAGGTCCAAGCATCGTCCTCTTTGAGCCATGGCATTAATCTTCCTCATTGGCCCTCCTCTCCCCACTTTCTGATCCCAAGGCCCTTTGCAATAGCCATCTTTGTCAGATTCCCAAAGAAGCCCACAGTGGTTCTGAATTCAGGTCGATCTTCTGCTCGGAACTTGCAGTCAGGTCCAGAAACCTGACATATCAATAGGTTGTGAAAGCCATGTAGTGAGGATAAGGATTCCGCTAGGCCCAGGATGCTACGGGAGCGCAGAGGGATGGGCAAGGGCCCTGGGCACACATCCTGGAAGAGGTGATGCCTGGTTGATACATTAAAAAGTACAAATGTAGGCATTAGAGGTATTTGAACTGAGGAGACAATCTGAGCAGAGGCTTGGAGACAAAGAAGGGGAGTTAAAAGCAAAACCAAACAGCAGATTTTTTTGTATTGCTTTTAGGTTCTTTGCCCACAGCTTACCTGGAGTCCCACTGCCCTTTGCCAGGTTGGAAAGGTCAAGGCAGGAGGTAGGGATCGTAGCATTAAGTCTACATCCCTGGTCAGGATTGGGGTGAGAATGGCTTGGTAGCCTCTTACTAAATGATCTCCCAATCCTTTTAGTATGGTGTAGGGGAAAGAGCCAGCGCTACTCCTAACTACCGAGGCTGACCTTGGGTGGGAACCTAATCTTTCCCAGCCTTCATTGCTCCATCAGCCAAATGGAGGCCAGTGTACCCACCTACTGACAGAGCATCACACTGAGGGCCAAAAAGATCTGTTTAGCCAAAATTAGTTCCCTCTTCATGCCGAGTTCACGAGCCTATGATTAATGAGGGTCTTATCAGAATGTTCTTGGAGCTTGAAAGAGAGGCTCTGTTCAAGTCTTGGTGGGAGGAAGGACCCTCTCTGCATCCCTATTTGGCGTGTGGGGGCGGTGGTGAATGGGGTAGTAAACTCTAACTCAATAACCGGGAGGCCTGGTGGCTGTTTCACTGTGTGCCGCCCCTGCAAAGGCCAGTGTGTGTGTGTGTTTGGGTAGGGTGGGGTCTGCCCCAGGGGTGTCTGCTCAGGTGCTGGGCAGGGGGACGCGAAGTACTCGGGCCTTCTGGACCCTGCAGCAGGGACGGGCCGGGGCTCCACGTGTTCCCCCAGCGCTCGGACTGCGACCGCACAGGGGTCCTGCCGATCTGCTGGGTCAGGCAGCTGGAGGCTACGTCTTTCAGCCCGCGCCGGTCCTTGGGAGCCGGGCTCGCGCGGCGGGCGGTCAGGGCCCTCCGCTGGCAAATGACAGTCTCGGGCGCCTGCAATGCTCTCCGGCTTCACGGTAGAAGGAGGCTGCCCGCAAGCGGAGCGAACAGCAGGCGGGGTGGCGGCGCGTGCTCACCTGCTGGTCTGCGAGACTGGGGGAGGGGGTGCTGGGGGCGGGGCCAGAGCGCTGCTGGCCAATGGGAGAGCGCATTCGGCGGCTGGCTAAATTCCCCCTGGAAAGTGGAGGAGGAGGGGTCTGAGGGGAGTGTTCCAAGCTCTGGAACAGCAGAGGGCTTTGGTGGTGGTCCGGAGCCGTCCAGGGACACTTGCGGGAGCACGGGCATGATCGAGGACTGGAAGACGCCGGCCGCGGCCGCCTCCATCACGGACGGTAGGCCCCGCCTTGGCCGTCCCTCCCTTCCCGGGCCCCGCCGGGCCACTAGCCCGCCATCGCTGGCTCGACAGCACCACCTGCTGGACGTCGGCCTCCACGTCCGGAGCGCCGGCGCCGAGGTTCTCTGAGGCTCCGACCTCCGTCCGGGAAGGGAACGAGCTCACTCAGCCCAGATCCAGCGGCGTCGGAGCTGGAGGCTACTGCCTCTTTTGGAGTACGGGAAGGGATCAGAAAGGCCTGTGACCATCCGAATAACTTCTTTTCCCGCTCCACCCACCGGAGCTACATTTCCACCGCACAGCCCCACCCAGAGGTGAGGAAATAGTGGGGAGGCAGTCCCTGGAAGCGGGCAGCAGCAAAGGGCGGGAGTTCAGGAGTTGCATGTGGCACCTGGTGACAGCGACGCGCAGCTAGCAAGCAGCCCTGGGCACCTCGTGGACCCTGTGATCCGGGGATGTCTGTAACACCCCAGGGGCAAAGGAGGTAGCCGCCTGCAGTGTTATAGAAGCGATCAGAAAGCCGCCTTAGTGCCCAAGTGTGGATTGTCCTCCTCCCTCTCCTCTTGCCTGCCGTAGCATAGGGCAGAAGTCTCAGAATTAAAATCAGGACTCGTTCATTCTTTCAATAAGCATTTATCGAGAACCTACTGTGTGCCAAACACTGTGCTAGGCATTGGGGATACGTCAGCCACTAACACACAGTCCCTGTCCTTGAGGAGCTCACAGTGTATTGGTGGGGAACCCTGCATAAACACGTAATTAAGGAACTGCAGCGTGTTAAGTGCTGCCATAGAGGTATTTACAAAGTGCTGTGAGGCCTGGCTCATGCCTGTAATCCCAGCACCTTGGGAGGCTGAGGTAGGTGGATAACTTGAAGTCAGTAGTTCGAGACCAGCCTAGCCAACATCGTGAAACCCTGTCTCTACACAAAATACAAAAACTAGCTGGGCCTGGTAGCATGTACCTGTAGTCCCAGCTACTCGGGAGACTGAGGCAGGAGAACTGCTTGCCCCGGGAGGTGGAGGCCTCAGTGACCTGAGATCGTGCCACTGCACTCCAGCCTGGGTGACAAACGGAGATTCTGTCTCAAAAAAATAAGGAAAACAAAGTGCTCCTCCCAGAGGAGGGAGTAACATACCAGCTGCTGGGAGATGAGGGTCGTCTCTTGACACCTGACTCCATTAAACCATGAAAAGGCAGAGACTTATTGCCACTTGACTCTGGTTGCAATGAACCTGTCTCCCGAGATTCTCCTCTAACCCACCCCCATAACTGTATCAGCACAGGTTAATCAGTTTCGCTACTTGCACACTTGGAGTAAGAAAGAAACTGGACAGGGAAGTTGCTTTAGGGGCAGAGGATGTTCAAAACAGTAACAAATTTTGAGTGCTAAGGTGGGAGGTAGGGGTGGGGATACCATCAGGGCCCTGAGCCAGGGAGAGCAGGCCCTGAGCAGTGGAGCACCTGGGGTGAATGCCTGTGCAGAGGGGAGGTCAGAGGCCGCCTACCTAAAAATTGGTCCCCATCTCCCACTGGCTCCATCAGTAATCATTCCTTGATGTTTTGTACTGTGCCATGTTATGTGGTTGATAGTCCCTCCCACTTCTTAAGGAGATAATGTGCTAATTGGTGACACTAACTGGGTACAGGTCATTGAAGATTTAAGTAACAGTTGTGATTATAATAGATGTCACAGGGTGTTCGTGATCAGTTGCCGAAAGAGTGGCAATTGCAGTGAGTTTAAAATAGCTCACTTAGAATAGGCTGGTCTGGGGAGGCAGATTCCATGAATCAAGTCTTGAAGGAGGGGCACAATTTAATTGGTGCAGGATAGGAAGGACATTCTGATTGAGCAGAACCAATCAGATCCTGAGGGTGGATTGTACTTTTTTTTTTTCTTTTTTTGAGCTAAAGTCTGGCTCTGATCGCCCAGGTGTGATCTCGGCTCACTGTAACCTCCGCCTCCTGAGTTCAAGCGATTCTCTGCCTCAGCTTCCCCAGTACCTGGGACTACAGGCGTGCGCTACCACGCCCAGCTAATTTTTGTATTTTTAGTAGAGACGGGGTTTCACCATGTTGACCAGGATGGTCTCGATCTCTTGACCTCGTGATCCACCCGCCTCGGCCTCCCAAAGTGCTGGGATTACAGGTGTGAGCCACCATGGGTGGCCGGGATGGATTGCATTTCTAAAGGAAAAGATGTATAGAAGGGAAGAATATTCGTTAAGAAAACACAAGATAGGCCGGGCGCGGTGGCTTACGCCTGTAATCCCAGCACTTTGGGAGGCCGAGGCGGGTGGATCACGAGGTCAAGAGATCGAGACCATCCTGGTCAAC